TGTTTATGCATTTGTTAAATCATGATAATGACTGTCACAGGAAAAGTGGAACCACTTCTACTCTTTTATCGTGCCTAAAAAGCTTCAAGGTAGGAGATCTGTCAGGGTCATCCAATCATCCATTATCTTTACTCACTCTTTCCTTTCAGGGTTGCAGGGTCCACCAGAGCCCATAGGGGACACCCTGGACAGCTCACAAGTCCACTACTTAGAGACAAGCAACCATTCACTCTCTCACTCACACAACAGTTTAGACTTACCATACTTGAATGTTAAATTCATCTTTTTGGTCTTTGGGAGGAAATCAGAGTACCTGAAGAAAACCCACACATGTACAGAAAGAAAGGTCTCCGGGCCAGGATTTGATCTGTCAGTATTCAACAGCTCCACCACCTGCTGCCCATTTAAAGGGTCAATGCTTGAAATTTTTGTCTAAGATGTCTTATTTTATTGAACCATTGACAATGTCCTGTTTGTTTACATGAAGGGGGCGGGACTGTGCTGCAACCAGCCAACATGGATAGTGGGTCCCAATCCAGGTTGGAGTTCAGTCAATGTAGATTTGATCACATGATGTCCCTCCTTTAATAAATGCATACATGCCACTGATCACTTGTTTCACTCTCCGTCCTCTGCCCCTCTTCTTCTTCGTCATCTTTTTTTTCTTCGGCACRTCCTGTTGACCAGCAACCGTGACAGCACTAAGAGGCAACGAGGATCGAAATGATCAAACTATTAATATGTTGATACTGTTAATTTCATAAAATAACCAAATTCACATTGAATAAATACAAGAAGAACTAGGGGACCCATCGCACAGCTGGTTTATGATGATTTAAAACAAGATTAATAGACTTATTAAAAAACATACCAAATGACAAAGACTTAACAAAACAATCACTTTAAACTTTAAACTTTTGTACCCCAACATTTTTAATTAAAACTGTACTTCTGCCTCTCTCTTACGGTAGCCGAGAGTGCATGTTTACCATTTATAATTTTCTCCATGGTTTTCTTATAAGTTAAAAATGTCGTTATCATGAAATAACAATGACAGTTYTCTCGAGATAATGAGATGATTTTCTTTTCTGTGTTAAGTGTTCTTAAAACCTTGTCAAGAACAAACTGACAACAGATGGTGGAGAACCTGGCATTGATCAACGCATCAGACTTTACTTTTGTCAAGGTCTAACACACTGAAAGTGTAATGTGTTTGTCTTGTTCAGACAACATTCATACGATCATTAAAGGAGATACCTGACCTGTAGGTTATACTGGAGTGGTCCTGCTGACAGAGTATCCTTCACTGGTGACCAGCCGAGGGGACCAGGACGTCTTCATGGTTACAGAATGATGCCGAAGTGGAAAACCATAACTCCTTATCTTGAGAAAATGTTCATTGTTATTTTTTGATGGGGAAAAAAATATGTGGAAAACGTCAACGCCCAGGTTCTGTCCTCTCTTCATCTGCTATTACAATCAAAAATAAAAATTTAAAATTTCCCAGTCGGCCTGCAATGCTTCTTGGACTGGAAAGGAAGCACAGGACTCCTCCCTGAAATTCAGTGGTGGAGTCAGACATTTTTCTCAGGGGTGGCCAGACTGGGACCACTGCTCACAGAGGGGTGACCAGACTGGGACCACTACTCACACAGGGGTGACCAGACTGGGACCACTACTCACACAGGGGTGGCCAGAAAAATGACATCATTTTTTGCTTGAAGGTTACCACAGATCTTTGTGTTTTGGTCATGCCTTATAAAGGCAGTGACCATCTTATAAACATGGTGTCTGAACCATTTTAAAAATGGGGGGACACACTGTTGAGGGGTCTGGGGGTCCTCCCCAGAAAACTTTTAACAAAATAGATGCCGTTTCCTGCATTCTGGAGTATTTTACCAGGTTGTTTAACATACTTTTACCTCCATAAATAAACACTTGATTTAATAATTATTTCAGAGACAGATTCTTCATTAAACTGGTTCCATCATCCTGTTTTTAAACTCACTGCTACAGCTAAGATTGATTAATGTGACACAGTTTATCATATCCAATGACTTTAGGGGTGCTTTTTACTTTTATATTGTTTATTGATTTATTTTTAATTGTAACACATGTCATTTTGCCAAATAATGATGACCATCAGCTGCATGTTTAAAACTAATATGAACTAGACATGGGTTTTTACAATGTAAAAACAAGTGTGCATTGCAGCATGTCATTGCCTGCAGCATTGGACTTGCAGAATAAACTGTGACCAAGTTCAAATATGTTTTCTATACCAGCTTGTRCCTGTCACATCAGCAGGTGTTTGTAATTAAGGTAATTGTGTRACAATATGAAGTTTGAAGAGATTTTTTTGTTAAAGTTGCAGTAGCTGGATTTGAACCCTGATCTCCCACATGAAAGTCCATGACATAGACCATTAGACCAATGGAGTTGTGGCAGAAGATGGTGGCAGGGGTTGATTTGTATGTGTGCAGAAAGAGGCCACATTGCCAATATAATTATTGACACTAAACTGCATAATATTACAACAATCAAGCAGTATTAAGACAATATTATAGTAAAACATCAAAATACAATCATATTAGTATTGTAAACACTGAACTATTGAGATTAAATATTATTAAAGTATGGAGCAGTACCAAGTTGAGTACAGCTGGGGGCAGTATTGGACTACTACAAGGCCCCATTGACTCCCATTATATGAATTTTGGAATAAAGTTTAAACATTAATATTTCAAAAACTACAAGTTGTACAGGTACCAAAAGGCATAGCAATCATTTGGCACAGGACCTTTACAGATAGAAATTACAATGGCAGCTGTAGGACAATGTAGCATGGCGACGTGGAAGAAGACAGAATAAGCTGAATAATAATAATAATATTAAAGAGAAACAGGAAAACAATAGTGTGCATTGCATTGGCAATGCACACTGATAACTTCACCCAATGAACAGGTGCAATACTGATAACCACCAACAGTGAATTTAGAGGGGTGTTTAACGTTTTCTGATTTAGTGATAGGCCTACTCATAACCAAACACAGAGCATCAAAATCAGAACATAAAATGACAAAAAAATTGTCACCATAAATCCAAAAGTTGACACCATAATTCAGATTTCGTAGGCATATGTTCTGTATATAAAGAAAATCATCACTTCCTTGTCAGTACTCTTCTCCAGTGATAGAGGTGGGTGGCCAAAGATTTGTCTGTGGTTGCCATGGCCACCCCCTGGCTCCGCCCCTGCTGAAATTGGGTCAAAAGGTGGACGTATTTGTGGGAGAAGCCATCAAATATTGACAGCTTTCGGCCTTTGAAGAATGAAGCTTCTGTCCTCCAAGCAGCCGGTGGAGGCAGATGGTCTCCTGTCCTGAGCCTGGTTCTGCTGGAGGTTTCTTCCTGATTAGCAGGGAGTTTTTCCTCTCCACCGTTTGCTCAGGATGGGAGACTGTGATGAAGTGATTCAACACAATCTGCTGCTTTCTTCTTTACATTGTTCTTTTTATCTACAGTGTCCTGAGACACCGTACGTTGGGACTTGGACATATATAAATTAGCTGAATTTAATTGAATTCTGAATTTGGACACTGCCAAGATGGCTGCCACAGCTAATCAACCTTAAAAAAAGATAAACGAACATTCACACATTGTTACGGATCCTGAGGTGTGTTAAGAGTCATCACCACATTAACTGTGCACTCTAAACTTTGTTATAAACTATTGGAGTCAGCTGTACTGTCTGTTGGCAGTGCTGACCCCCCCACAGAACTATGTCCCACCCCCCCCAATCTGAACCCCTAAAAACAAGTTTGACAGTGTAAGGTACTATGGTAAACTTAGATTTATTTGCTTTCCCAGAAAGCAAATAAATAGCAACATACTGTACATATCAACTTGTACAGATTGTCTGTAAGTTTTAAGTATTTTACATCATTTTGCAGGTTTACGGACGTATWCGGTAATCTCACGGATTTTTTCAAAACCTCATTATTAAATTTATCTAACATGTCAGAGCCTATAGGATGATTTAAAAAACAATAAATAACATTGAACAGCCATCTTCCAACCTGTTCTGCCGCTAGAAATAAGTTTCGAACTGTTTCTGCTCTTATTTCCTCCTGCTTCACAGCGAGGCTGACAAGCCCCGCCCCCCACGTGCGAGTTGTATGGATTTTTTTGCAAAATTTACAGATTTTTGAGTTTTTTTATAAAGGTAAACGTCTGAAGAGGTTGACATGTATGGGTCAACAAAACAGACTTGTTGTTATTGAGTTTGTCAACACGAACAGCTACCTGAGAGGCACTACTAGCCCCTCCCCCCGTCAGAGTGTCAGAGCAGGACGAGTCAGTGCAACGTCAATCAAATGAGAGAGAGGGTGGGGGTGATTGCTGCATGGGGGGGGAATGTTTTATAGGTAGAGTAGTTTATTTTTCCTGTAATACTTCATTATAGTTTTTAAGTCAAAGCTAATTGAAAGGGGCGCTGAGCAGAGTTACAACCAGGGATTACAAATAATTACTTTTTTTCTGCAGTTCGGCACCCCCTCCAGCAGATGGAGCTCTAGGCGACCGCCTAGTTCGCCTATGCCAAGAGCCGGTTCTGTCTGTTAGCAAAATATCTCAGGAACCACTTGACAAATGTTAATGAAACTTTCAGGAAACAATCACTGGATGATACAACAATATGGTTTCTACAGCTAATTGACTTTAGAAAACACAAAACTGATGATAACTCAGTCAGTTTTACAATAAATTCATATTTACAACATAAAATCTGAGCTCAGAAATGTGATCTTTGGCACAAAATGTGGCATAATGTTTGTCTAATTAGCAGTCATTGTTTAGTTATAATAACAAACCCCTCAGTGATCAGGTGCAGCCACAGCTCCTCTGCAGCAGGCGGTCCGTCAGGGGGAGGAGCCACAGGCGGGCCACGCCCCCCTCCTTCCACAGCTCTGCACAGCCCGTCCGTCACCGCGCACTGCTTCAGAACCATGATCCGGAGCAGCCGCTGCGCCTCCTCCACACAGACAGGACCGCTGGAAGCACAGCCCCGCTGAGCGCTCTGCTCCTGCTGCTCCTGCTGCTCCTCCTGCTCCTGCTGCTCCTCCTGCTCCTGCTGCTCCTCCTGCTCTCCGTCTCCATCCTCCTCTCTGTTTTGTACCCTGGACCTGAGCCGCAGGATGTGCGTGGAGAGCGATGGGTGCGAGATCGAGGGCTGCGGTTCGGATGAGGTGCGCACGCTGTCGGGCAGCATGAGTCCCGGACTGATGCCCGAACCGGACCTCCGTCCCTGCAAGCCGGGACAGAAATTCCGCGCGGCGCTTCTCAGGTGCCGGACTCCCGCGGTGGCCGCCGGGATCCTGAGCTTTGGAAACGTCCTCAATTACATGGACAGATACACTGTGATGGGTAGGATCATAAACCTGAGTATATTTATACTGAATGAGTATTTATATTTATACTGGATGAGTATTTATATTTATACTGGATGAGTATTTATATTTATACTGGATGAGTATTTATATTTATATCTGTTAAACCTGAGTGTTTACATGTAGAAACGGTCCTCAGGAGGGGAGCAGTGGGTTTATTTCTGATGCGCAGTGACAGTGTCCGGTGGTTCGGCTCCGGTCCACCTCAGCGGAGGCGGAACAATGGGTCTGTCGGTACCGTGCAGGCAGCAGCAGCGGACTGTGTGCTCSCTGCACGCCGTGATTCAATCAGACTGATCTGATCTGGAAACACCTGACAGCAAAGATTTCTGTTCGTTAATCGATCAATTAAAGGCGAACATGTCCGTCCTGCTCACACACTGTGCGTGGCCTGTGCGTGTGTGTGTGCGTGTGTGTGTGCGTGTGTGTGTGTGTGTGC